CCTTCACTCTCTCCTTATGCCAAATGTATGGAACCCAACATTTTTGTTCTTGGAGAGAGGTGAATATTCCCCTTCCTCAATTCTGAGATCTGCCCTGAGAGTGTGTGACAGTTATTCCCATCCTGCCTCATCCCAATGCTCTACCCACTCTTCTTACCTTTGCTCCTCCTCTTACTTAAACCATCACTTTTCTTGCAACCTGCTTCCTACATTTGCTTGTCTTTTCCAACCATCTTTACTCTTTTGCAGATTCCTCTAGCAAACCTGCTCTCTTTTTGTTGATAGCAATTGCTCCAAAGGTAGAACTTTCTTTTCCTCCTCCTCATGCACCCTTTCCCAGCCCATACTTCAAAATATCAGCTCCTGTATGATTCATTCACCATATAACATTTATTTTCTCATACTTGATTCCTCATTTCCTTCTCCACCTCCTTCAATTGGCAAACAAAAATTTCTGGTTGGCACTAAGCGGGATGACTTTAGGTGCTAAACACTGAATTCACGCCAAGCAAGCAGCATTAAAGGCTCAGCACCACCATTTTGTAGAAAATTTCAGCAGCAACATCAAGAAATAGACAGGATTTAGATATGAAATCATTGCTGATGTACAGTTACCTGCACAGCAGGCTTGGATGGACTGTTTGGCTTAATCCACAAGCACGCTGCATTATAGGAGTGTGATGGCAGGGCAGCTTCTGTTATCATTAATGCAGTTCTGTTTAACCTGCCTCCCACTTCTCCATAGCTTAATCTCTATCCAGCACTAAAGATGAAAATGTCTCTCTCCCCACAGTCATGTTATCTGCTGGTGTTACAACACAGTAAATCCAGGAAGCAGCAAAAGCAGCAATGTTGTAGTAGTGGGATTTGGGGTATATTAACTTGCTGTTTTAGGAGGATGTCTGTCCCAGAGTATGTGGTCTAGACTGTAGACTGTGGTTGCTGTCTCTGCAGGAAAGACAGACCTGGCTGATATAGTCTGTATATCTGTTATAGTCTTGTGACAGTGGAGCTCAGCACAAGCCCAGTATTTGCTCACACGCTGATGGAAACTTTTGTGCAGTTCCTGCTGCTCTAATATGGATATATTGGGTAGCTCACTAAATGCTAGCTTAGGTTTGCTACCTGCATCATTTCTCTCCTCCCATTATCATGACGGCAGGAGCATCTATTACAAGTGAAAGTGGATTGTGCTGTCTAGGCTCGCTGTCAATATATAGCTTTGTTGTGCCTTTCCCTCTCATTAACACTCAGGTTACTTGACCTTCCTTTAGTACTTTGAACCTGTTTTTTGGCCACCAACCTTACGTCCTGCAAGGAAGGAGTATGGTTCCTTCCAGAATGTGTTTGACAGTGAGAAGTGTGTGTGCAGATTTCCTTGGAGAAGTGTGAGTACTTAGTTACATCTGCTAAATCTGAGGTCAGTCTGCTGCTTTTACTAATGCAGGCCTGTTCAATTCCACTGTTGCTGCCCTTGTGACCCTTCTGCTTCTATTTCTCTCTCATCCCACATTTGAGCAGAGCTCAGAGCTTCTCTCTTAGTAGGGTTCTTATTCTTCCAGGGCATGTGAAGGATGCTGAGGTCTGTTTAGAATCACAAACACTGTGAAGAAAAAGGAATAAACATAAGAAGTACTATCATTTCTTCCCACCAAAAATCCAGTAGATGAACAGAATAAACTCAAATCAGCCATTCTTCTGGGTCAAAAGGGAATTAAACGTGTTCAAGGCCAAGGGAGCCTCATTTCTGAGACAATTTCTGACATTGGTTTGATATAATTGGCTCTTACCACGATTTAGGAGATGGGACTACATCAGATGAAACTGTATTGATTTTCACCATAGATGTCAATGCCTGACCCCTTCTGTGAGAGCATCCAGGGTCCTTTTTTGGACTTGAAAAATATACATGTGTAGTTAACTGAACTGCCTAATTACAGCCCTTTCATAAAGAAAAACAAATCATTTTCCCTATATCCCAGTCAAACTAGTTGGGTACTCAAATTCAGACTGGGACCATTTCCAAGTGATCCAGTTTGAAATACAGAAACTGGTGGGATTGTGAGGCACTGGCTGCACAGACAGGAAAGGAAGTGTCTTAATGAGATCTGCAAAGCATCACGGTCTCTGGGATAGTGCACCAGATTGGGATTCAGAAAACCTGGGTTGTTATCACAGCTCTGCTGTTGCTTCTTTGCCTTTGTGCGCTTTAGATTCCCTTCCAGCCATCTGTTTGTCTTGGTTATTCAGAGCAATGTACCCAACCTTCTTGTACAAAAGCTTTGCCTGAGGAACTTGGTGATGTTCCACCTCTTGCTGTGTCTGACTCCTTCCTTTCTTCCCCAAACCCAGCACATGGGGTAATTATCACTCTTTCCTCAGCTCCCACTTGGAGCTGACTTCCGTCCTTCCTCCCTTCTGCCCACTGTCAGTGCCTGTGGTCCTTGTCCTTGTGGGAACTGGCACTGGACCAGCAATCCCTGCTGGGCCTGTCTGTCTGTCTGGAGACACTCAGATGCAATCTCAGCTCCAGTTCCTGGCCATGATAAGAAGACATGAAGCCTTTGGATCTGGCGTTGCATCCCCAGAAATGTATCAGCCTGTGTCCTGTTTGCCAGTGCTGTCCTTTCCTGGTTAATTGGAACCACCAATTTGAACAGGAGAATAAAAGCAGTGCTGCTCAGTGTCCCTTTCACAGCACATGGAAAAGCTTGCAAAAAGAAATGGCATCAGAGCAGAGAGATTTAACCCAGGCATTTGCACTGGGCTGCTTGGTCTCAGCATACTGGAAGATGTGGATGGGACCATCTGTTGATTCCGTTGTATGTCCATCCTCAACGTTCCTGGTAGTTTGGCCCTCCAGAATACTTGTGTTTTCCTGGCCTGAAGATGTCCATAAACATACACAGATCAAGTTTTGATCAGAATCCCCGTATTGTAGCATGGCTGTAAGGGCGAACTAATATAACATATTCTTTGACTGTTTTGATCTCTTCTACTATCATTACTTCGGGTTGCATATTAGGAAAAATTGGTTGGCAACCCTGCTCATGGCAGGGGGTTGGAACTCAATGATCCTTTTGGTCCCTTCCAACCCAAGCCATTCTGTTATTGTGTCATTCAGTTCTGATTGCAATTAGTCAAGTATATTTCTCTAACATAAATACATTGAATAAAACCGTTCTCCAGCATCTACTCCAACCATTTCTCCAGAACTGTTGAATCTGCCAAGAAGCTCCCACAGTTCAGGGACTCCAGCTATAGTGTGTAAATGAATCAGAGGCTGTTGGAGTCAGGAATGGGGCTAAAGGGACTGCAGAGGTAGTTATTATTTAGAGTTAATTGAGTGGAATGGGTGATGGGAAACAGCTGAAGAGAAATAGAAACTCCTCAGGATGTTCACACTCTGCCTTTCACCTTGCCTTTCACCCAGCTGAGATCCCAGGTTCTTGGTTCAGTTAATCTGCTTTTTTGCTTCTCTCAAAAAAGAACTGAAAACCTGTGCATATATTTTCCCTTCTAAGCAAAGCTGTGCTCTCCTATTCATGCTAATGAGAGAGGGGCTGAGAGCTGGTCCTTTTGGGTACCCTTCCAGTGCCTGCACTGCATTTGTTGTTATGCTTTGTGGAAAAGAAAAACAAATGGAAAATGTTGAACCTTGGCTACTGAGGAAACGAAGCATCTCACTGCACACAGGCACTGAAGAGCACTTTTACGAGAAACAAAGAGCCTCTCACTATGTTGTAACGTGCCAAAACGTGAATCTAAATATCTGGATTTAGCTTTCCTCCATCTAGCTTTGACAAGTTGACCTATGAATCAGAATTCAGGCATATATGATTTATTTCCACTCTCCTTGTCCTGATTTGTTGCCACCAGAACATTCCTTCTTTTTGTCTGCAATAGCAGATTCTGGTATGAAGGAGATTGGGCTGTTTGGGTAGGTTAATTATGTTAATTAAACAGGCAAAAAAATAGAGTGGGACTTCAGTATTGGTTGAGTAACTGTGACTTAAAATGTGAAACACAGAAAATACAGTAATGGACTGCTAGAGTCATCAGACTGCCTGTTTGAATTAGGATGCAGAGAAAGCTGCAGAATATTTTGCACGTTCCCATGAGTTATTTGCAGATAAGATAGGTCTCCTTTGTGATGCTCCTGGTGATTCACCCAGCCCTCGAGAGCGATGTTTCTGTGCTGTGCTTTGCCTGTCTGTAGAAGTCTGTTATTTATATTCATTCCCCAGTACGAAATCTTTGAGATCTACAGAACAAATTTATACGGGGCCTATTCCTTCTCAAGCTAGCAGGAAGACCCTTAAAAAGATTTCAGATCCTTGGAAGCACAACATAGGTCTACTGTGGGGATTAACTCACCGATTTCATAATAAAATGTTAGGTCTCATGATCTCTGTTAACAACAGGTACTGCTCACAGTGTATTAGATCAGTAATAATTCTGCAAATGTATTAGTTATCCATGTTTTAGAGCTTAATGGAAGCAGCTTATAATTTAAATTCTATGAAGAAAAAGAATACATGTTATTAATGATAAATATTTCCACCTGCAGCATTAACATACAGAGTGATGCAGAATGTTTTAATAAACATTTAGAGCATTTTGGGTTCTGGGGACAGAGGTGTCACAGTATTTTTGCAATTCTGTTACTACTGTTTCTTCATTTAAATTTGAATTTATTCAGAAGCATTTATACCACCATCTGTATGAGTACAGTGCCCTGTTGACTGTGCAGGGTTGACTTGGATGCAAAAAAAATTGTCATGTTTCTTGTTGGACTGATAATCTTTTCATGGATCCTTGGCTTGGCAAAATGAGGACTGTAACCATTAATGGGCAGAATCCAGAGTATTGAGGCTGTGGTTCAAGGGTTTCTGGATCACAGTCTCAGTGTGAAGTACTTCAGTTATTGATGCATGGTTTGAAAGCAAGATTTTTCATTGGTCTTGATTGAATATAGTATCTATCTTGTGTCCATGAAGGTTACAGCAGAGTTAGATGCCTGGAATGAGGATCTGCTGAGACAAATGAATGATTTCAATACCGAGGACCTTACTCTGGCTGAGCAACGTTTGCAGCGTCACACTGAGAGGAAGTTGGCCATGAACAACATGACTTTTGAAGTCATCCAGCAAGGGCAAGATTTACACCAATACATCATGGAGGTCCAGGCTTCAGGTGAGCGGAACAATTTGTTCTCTATTTTGTATGAGAAGGAACAAAACAAAAGGGAAAGAAACACCACCTACAACCAAAACACATTTCAAAAATATGCCAGTACGTACAAAGCACATCAAATTTTAACATAATTCAGTCTGTTGTATAGCTTTTCTCCACAACCAGAACCACTCCAGGATTTAGGAAAATTCTTTGAGTCAGGATCACACATCAGAAATCGCTGTTCCTTTGAAATGGAAATTCAGTATGGAAGTAAAGCTGAAATTTAAGTTTCATTCAGAAAGTTTTATGCAACTGCAGGCCAGTAGAGTTTGTGATCTATTCCAGAATAGATGGCAAGGAAGAGAAAAAGGTGGAGCGAGAGAAAGAGGCAGAGGAAAGAGAAGCTAGCTAACCAGAAGCCCTATAGAAGAGAATTCAGATATGAGAGCCTTGAAATTTATCAGGAAATTGAATTCTTGTTTCCAGCCAGCTCTAATTGGAATTATTTTGTGTATAAAAAGGGAACTTGATAAACCATAGTGGAATTTTCCTTTTCAATGTGCGCTTGGAAGTTAAAGATAGCCACTTGGATGCAAAAAGCTTTTGGCATGTGCATTTAAGTGACAGACTTGATTCATGTTGATAGGGAGTCTATCTGCTTCATCTACTCTTCTCAGCAGTAGGATCCTATTTCTAAGGCATCCTATGAATCAGGATTTTTGTATCCTTGTATTTTGTGTTTGGAAAAAGAGTATCATAATTCAGATTAATCACTGCATAAAGTCTGGAAGTGAAAGTTATTTGCAAAGTGTTTAAACCTTCTTAAATGTCTGGAAAAGTGCAAAGCAAGAGCAATTCTTTTCTGTCTCTCCTCACATGCACTACCAAAATAAAAAAGATTTTTATGGATTTATTCTTTGGCAAACATTTTACTCCTAGACATTCACCTTTAAAAAAAAGATTAAAAATAAAAAATTGGCAGTATTCAACCTGATTGGCAAGCTGTACTCAGCAGAGGCTGTAGGTTTGCTGCAGGCGTGTGTTTTGAACTAGACAAGCATTGTGTGAACCATGTGTGTGAGATGATATGAGCTCTGTCCACACTGTGTCTGGTCCTGTGCTTCAGCTCTTTTGCTTTCCAGGCTAGCAAATTGGTCCTAATACATCAGTTACTACTCATTTTTGGTGCATCCTGGAAGCATTCGAATGTGAGCAGTAATTCATGGGGGAAAAGAATATCATCCAGAACAGTACAGACTCAGGAGCATCAGGGACTGCTCTTCAGGGAAAAAAAAAAAAAACAAACAAACTAATTCTGTGTTTACGAAGAAGTTAGAAACAATTTTTTTTTGGATTACAGACAAAAGATCAGCAACTAAATGAAGTGACTTTTAGAATGTTTTTATAAGATTATCTGAGATCTCCTTCTTTAAAGCCTACCCAATAAAAATGCATTGCTCCCAAAGGCAAGGAAGTGGAAGCCTCATAGGGATGCAGAGTAACTGTAGTTAATCAAAGGTAATGGTCAGATCTGCCATGCACAGAATGCTAAATGCTGGGAGAATGGCAAAATAAGGGAGAGAGATTGCTCTTGGGAGCCTACTGTTTCTTATTGTAATAAAGGACAGCTATAGTCCATAAAAAATTCATTTAATTTTACTCCCTCTTGCTGAGTCCTGTATCACAGTCGTTCAGTGCGTGAGAGATGATTGTTCTTACTGCCAGAACTGCAAATTTGCAGGGGTTCTGGGAAATCAGTATTGCTGGTTCCCACTGTACAGTGTCACCACCACTACCATCAAAATTCAACTACAACCATAGAAGATAAAGGCAGAAAGAAGCTTTTTTCAGGGACATCCCACCTAACTGTCCACTCTTAAGTGCCTGGAGTTTCTTTCCTTCCCCATAACTCTCTTTCAGCTTTATTCTTTTCAATGTATCACGCAGGAACCTGATTTAATTTTGATCATTCTGGAGTTTGGCTTGGAGGTCTTTAAGCCAGCAAGTCTGTCAGATAGAATTACATCCAGGTTTTTCCATGCATAATGCCTTTTTCACTTGGAAATCTTGTGCAGGTAGAAAAAGATTATAGACATTTGCCCATATTTTTTGCATGTGTGATGCAGACTTGGAGCAGCGATTCTTACCAGACCGTGGAGTGTCTGGAAGTCCATGTGAATACTGTGCATTGGATGCAGCATATCCAATTGTTCTACAATGGACCAGATCAGACTCTGTGCAGATATTCAGATATTTGTGTACAAACTGCATATCTACAAATCCGTACAAACTGCATATCTACAAATCCACTGTTTCCAAAATGCCGTACAGCACAGTTATGTCCTGTGATTCCTTCCACTGGTGCAGCGTGTGTGAGTGATCCTGCTTTGGATTAGACTGTTTTCATCATAAGAATAATTCCTCTGCAAGTAAATGTTTGGTTTTGTTAGGGACCACGTAAGATCTGGGAGTCGTCACATCTTCTGCAATTCCGCAGTACTTTCAAATTGTGTCCATGTCTTACAAATATTGGTGTAATTTGGGAAAGAAGTTTGCTTTAAGAGAGTGCTGTAACAGTATTCTCAAGAAGACTGACTTTTAGTGACCCAGCACTTTCTATTTCAGTGGAACTATCTGCTGTTTTTCCAGGCTGATTGCAGTTCTAGTACTGATATCAAAGGACACCCTGATCAGAAGGGATCCGTGGGTGAAAATGTGTCCAAAAATTCTCAAAAAAGGATAATGATTGTAGAGTGTTTAGTTTGATACATTTAAAGTGTTCTGATGTTTCCAAAAGAGATAGTCTAGGCATTTCTGAGAGTTTAGGACTGTGATTCAGCAGGGATTTAACACCCTGACTCAAGTTGCACTGACGACACATACACATCAGTGGTACATCCCTCAGTTGTTCATGTTCTAGGTACTAAAAGTAGTTACACTCTTGGATTTGATGATCCATATTAGTCCCTTCCAATTCGGGATGTTCTTTAATTGTTGACTGAGTGCACACAATTAATTTGTTATTTAAGTGCATTCACATTGTTAGCATTGTTGTCACCATAAGCACCAGTCAGGTGTCACTAAAGATTCATGGATCTGGCATTTTATGTCTACGGCAACTTCTCTAAGCCAAGCCTGAAAAATACGATGAGAAACTGATGTTGGGGAAATTTACACAGTCCCTGCCTGTTACGTGGAAAATTCAAAGCCTTGTTGTGTCCTGGATGTCAGACTTAAAATCATTCATGTCTTTTCCTAGCATTGCATTGCTTCAAAGTGAAATGGAAGTCTGTTTCATTTTGCTTGTGATTTCACTTATAACACAGAAAATAGATACAGCAAGAAGAGGATGCTGCACTGTTGTGTTCCAGGCTGGTAACAGTTCAGCCTACAAGCGGGTTCAAAGCAACTCCAGAAGAGCTCTGTACTGGTCAAAAAGCAATACCTCTTCCATACGTTGAATAGTATCTGACAGTGCAAATAGCACAGCTGTAACTAATGCATGTCTTGCAGGATGTTGGCCAGAGTGGGTACTCTTTGTAATTATTTTTTAGAAATAGTTTCAATTCGTTATCCTTCACTGATATCTGCTGTACGGGCCAAGGCATTAGAAAAAAAGAATGGCAACCAAGTTCAGTTTATCAAAAAGTCAGCTGTGCTTTCCTGTCTATCAAAACTTAATGTAAAGATTTTATGTATGAAATTATTCTGAAAGCAAAGGTTTCCAATTTGCAAACCAATCTTTGAGAAGAATAAGTGCTCTCGCTGCGTGCACTGGCATTGCAGAATAAATCTGTGTGACACATGACAAGCACGAAAGGGCAGACCATTCATCATGGGGAGTGCGGGCTGCCCTTGGATAGCATCCCAGGCAGCTTGCTGGTTGCTGCTGATGAGTTAGCACAATCAAAACCAGACCAGCTGAATCTGCATGAAGGAAAACGGTGCATTTAATGTCAGAAAGGTGTGGTGAAGTCAAGCATACAGGAAGCCTGTCATGTCCTGAGGATACAGAACCATATGCAGGCTAATTGTAGTAACAATGCTTGGTGTCTGGCGTTTGAAAGAAACTTCACTCCTAAGAATGGAAGCGTATATTAGATTTCCAGATCTTAAATGGGAAGCCAGGGGCCATTCCACTTTATTTGGTAATGAAGAAACTGTTTGGTTTTGGCTGGGAAAGGGAATAAGCCAATTGCTTGCATTCCTTTATGGTTCTTTTTTTTTCTTTCTTTTTTTTTTTTCTTCCTGCTAAAACCAGAAACCAGGAAAAAGAGGATAAGGTCAATCATAAGGTCATATTTATTTTGTGTACTGTCCTCTGTGGATACCGCTGTGAGGGAGAATGAAAGTTACAAGCCTCTGAGGAAGAGAAAGGGGGAAGAAAAGGCATTTTTCTAAATCAGTTTTAAAAACAATACACAACCTTCTGTACAGCAGCTTCTAATTAGCACAATTCTTGTATAATGTCCTATTATTCCATGAAATCAAATGGCTTTGGAGAAAAGTGTAGTGTTTTCTCAGCATTACTGCAATCTGATTATTTGCATATTAGGTCGCTGATCCTCCCTGTATTGAGGCCAATGGCAAAATTCCAGTTGACCTCAATAAGGGAAGAGTCAGATCTTTATTAGTTTGTAATTACAGGGATTACAGTAAGACAGGATGGCATCATAACTCCTCCAGGCCAAGCTTTCACAATTACATTACATCTGTAAAGTACCCAACAATGCTGTCACTCTCGTGTGGGAAGGAAGAATGTGGTGCTCTGCATTGTACTTCATGTAACTGACACACACAAGGCCCACCAGGAAATTCAGGAGGTGGGAAGGGACCTCAGGAGGTCTCAGTTTCCACCTCCTAATCAAATGAGGTTCAGCTATGAAATTCAGACCAGGTTATACAAGTGTTCGCCCTTTTCATGCAAAATACAAGGCATAGGAGTTCTGGTACTATTTTCTGTCTGCTAGATGAGGAATGGATTGATGTCACTTTTTGAAGTAATTCTGAATGAATGGGTCGTTTTTAACTAAATTGTTGCTAATGATCATGTAAAGTGCCCAGATGGAAAAGATGTTTCCTCTGTGGAGTTCCACACACTCATGGCAATGTATCTGGCAGCTAGAATTTACTTTATTTCACTTTTCTGTTGTCTTCCTCTTCTTTTTCCCTCTTTTTAATTTGTATTTGTAAAGCATAAGTCATTGGTTTAATCTAACAAAGGGAGGTTATTTCTGCCTTTTAAAGTTAACTTTATGTTTGGGCAAGGCTACGGTCAGTAGCGTTCTACTATTCAGATGCTGATGAATGAGGTGAGCAATCATCAGCAGAGAACCACTACTGTGTAGGAAAATATAGTGGTGCAGAATGGGAAACTACACAAAAGCCAAAAACTCCCTGGGAGAGAGCTCATTGAGGAAAATGTTAATGAGAGATTTGCAGATCAGTGTTTTAGGTGGGAAATAATTTTGAAGTTCGGACAATGACTAGAATTGCAAATAAGTGCAAGATCTCTCTCTGCATGTTGTTCTGTTGTAGGCATTGAGCTGATCTGTGAAAAGGACATCGACCTTGCAACACAGGTACAAGAGCTGCTGGAATTCCTTCATGAGAAACAGCATGAGCTGGAGCTTAATGCTGACCAAACTCACAAGAGGTTAGAGCAGTGCCTACAGCTCCGGCACCTACAGGCTGAAGTCAAGCAGGTGAGAGTTTTTAACTATGCTTCGGGTTCTTAAATAGGTTTTCAGCCATTGCAATACCTAGTAAACCAGTATCTGCCAAGTCATACAGCTTTAGGTGGATGATCTTAATCCCTCTTTCCTTAGCAGTACTTGATTTGCTGACAAATTACAGCATGATCCTTTACAAATATAGAAGGGCTCTGTTCCACATCATGGCTTCATGAACAGTTATGGGAATTCTGTACGGAGCAGACCCTTTAGCTTCTCAACTGGAGTATGCCTCAAACTGTGTTCTGGAAACAAATGATTTGAGCTGGGATCCAGGCTGAAGTTTTGTGGAGAATTGCCCCAGAGGATAACTGAGCAGTGACATCTGAGCAAAGAATTACAGTAGTTTCACCTTTCTGTTTATTGCTACACATATTGGCCTAAAGGAATCTTCGACAGTATCTAGGTGAGATAAAAGCTTCAATCTGTGGTCTCTGTGCTAGGATTTACTTAACCATCTTAGTGCTGTGACATTCCCTTTCTTCCAGATTTCATTCTAGTGATGGTGGTCATGTTCTGTCTCCTGTGTTTTCCCTTGGTATTTTATTTGAGTGCCTCATATTTCAGTATTACACTATACTTCCTGCTCCAGAGGTGACTTTATGCTTCAATGTAGTGCTTATGTCTGGATTGTAATATGATCTTAGTATCATTAGAAAGAAGAGAAAGATTTTTCCAGACACATGGTGTATTCGGGTTTCCATTTTACCAGTAGAAATGGGGGAGGGGGACAGAAATAATGAATATATTGAGTGCTCCCTAACTACTATCACAGTTATTTCTTCTTCAGAAATGAATTTTTGAGTGACATTTTATCTGGATTGCTTTTATCATTGCTGGCAAAACATCCTTCGCTCCTAGACAGCTTCCAAGCTAGAAGCTGGCAGCACCAACTTCAGTGCACAAATTTGCTTTCAGAGTTCAGTTTGATTTAATATTTTGCAAACATGAATGGAACTTGCACAGAACTCTTCTGAATTTTGATTTTGAATATATGGCTGATTTGTGTTTCTGATAATTCTGGGGACTCTCCTCATAAGCCTCCACAGCTCTACAAAGTGCAGCTTTCTTCTGTGAAAGAGATCTTCTCTATGATATTCATAATCACCACATTAATGTCAGCTTCCATAGCTAAGCTTAGAGTTCTGTACAGCAGTTTTATGACTAAGTAGAGCCATTTTAACTGAAGACAGAAGGTAGAGAGGAGCAATACATGTAGCTGACCCCAATGACCAGGATGATGGACGGTTGGTCAGGTTGGTCAGCCCTGCAGTGCTCACAGAGCCTTGCAGTGCAATGCAGCACTCTGCAGTTACCTCATGTTACTTGCCTCACTATCAAGAGTCTTCTGGGCTTTCCTATTCTGCAAACCAAAATCTAACCAAAGGAAATGGTTTTAGCATTGAAATATCTAATGCTTTGAGAGAACAAACAGCTGCCTTGAATTAGTATTTTCTTAACATTGCTTGGGACCATCAGAACTTTTATTACTGTGTGACCTTTCAGCAGGCCAATTGTGAAGAATCATTGTATTTGTTCAGCTGAGTAATAAGGACTCCTTTGTTTATTAACCTATAAATTACCACAGCTACAGTTTCCCTTGGAAAGAGCCAAGGTAAAATATATCTGTGCTCTATCTATTTGGTTTCCTGGAGATGAGTCATATTCCCAACCATTTAGTGAAATTGGGAAATATATTGATTTTGGCTTGCAATTCATCTCCACTCTGGTCCAGATTTCCTTCACTTTCGTTTTATTGCATCTGAGATGATGGGTGATCTCATTACCAAGTTGCACTCACTCTTGCAAGTCATCTGAGATTTGGTTGCCACCAGACACCTACTGTAGCTGTGCTTACATTCTGCTGACATAGGAAAATTGGTCAAGGCTGCTAAGTGTACATGTGTTTGCATTTTGATATAATGACTCGTGGAAATACAAAGTCTTTTAACCATCTCTATCTATTGAAGTTTCATTTAGGAGGTTTTCTGTTTTAAATCACACGCACCCAAGGTTTGAATGCCTGGACAATGAGTTGAAGTCTGGGGCTGTAAAAGAAGAACAATTCAGAGTGAGATGTTTTGTGAACTGCTTTAGTGTGGAAGTAGCATAGACCAGTGATTCACAAACCCTTTGTTATTCAGAAAGATCCTTCCCAAGACTTATTTCCTCTCATTTGGATCCCACTCATTTCCGACAGAAACTACAGAGCTTGCATTGCTCACATAGAAGTGATAATACAACAGAATTGTGGAGATCAGTTTCAAGAACAAGCTGTCTTATACTGTGCTTGCAGCTGTTTGGCTTCCAAAACCCCTCGCTTTTCATCTTTGTGTGTTTTTTTTTTATTATTATTATAAGTGTTCAACATCACGTAATGCAATCCCAGATACTGTCACAGTATCACACTACACTTATTTTCCAGGTTGTTCTTTACAAGTCTATTTGGAAATCTTTATTCACATTTTATCCACCCACCGTTATTCTTTTGGCATTAGATTTGCTTCCTATGGGTGTGCCCATAGGATGACAGCAGTCAGTCATTTGAGGGATGCTGAAAAACTGACTTTTTGCCTATTTAATACATCACAAAGTTCTGAGAAACTGGAGTCGAGTTTTGAACATGACTGAAACCTGGCATACCTTGTTTGTATTATTTGGGGAAAAAATAAAGTCAATTAATATATTGCTTTTTTAGTGTGCAGACTGAGTATTTTCTACAGTTAAGTGGCCCAATATACCGTATATCACAGTATATCAAATGTGAAATGATGCATTGCTTTATGACATACTCACATCAAGGTTTTCTCAGATATACCCATCTTTTTTAACTTCAGCTTTTGGTGCCATGAAGTAGGCAATAATCTAGCCTTCTTGTCAGATAGATTATACAAACTGCCAGCCAAGAAAGACTGCCATATGATAAGCTGTGTTCTTTTCCTCTAAATCTTTGTTGCATTTCCCATAGGAACAATAATACCTACTGATGAAAGAGAGAAAGCTGACAAATGAAATCTTCCACACTGTTGTAGTGAGCAGATGTAATTTCCTGCAAATCAGGGTCAGCTACACGTGTTGATGATTCCTCTTTATTTCTCCTAGGGAAAACTCATTTTCCTGCCCCACAGGGAACTGAATGGCTATAAGTAGGGTGATGCATGATGTACAGATAAAAAACAAAACAACTGAAAATCCCTATTTCTTACAGACAATTTAATGGATCAGTCGGTGTAAATGATGGCACAAAAGGGAAATTACTATGTAGAATATTGTGACAAAGTCAATTTTGGAGCTTTGTAAATCACAAGCTAAAGTTAGGGCAGTGTATGGGCAGTCAGGATTTCTTGTGCATCTGTGAATTGAATCCAACAACTTGCTGGTTCATTGGAATAATTTTACTCCCACACTGGTAAAAAATAGGCTTTGAGCCAACACAGCAAAGAACTTGCATGTGCACTCTGGGTACTAATTTTTCATAAGCATGCCTTAAAATAGCAGAAAATATTACTGCTTAAATAAATGAATAAATACAAGCTTGATAGATTAATTACACACATTCGGAATTTGATTCTTTAGTCAAAACAGCAGGCATTTCATGTCTACAAGTAATCTGAATGTCTCTGAAGTAAAGCCCTTTGACTAAATATAAACTGCAAGACATGGAGTTTCTTCCTAGCTGTGAATGCAGGTGGAAACTCCCACTGCATCTTAAGTGTGTGTTAGATGAAACCAACTGCGACTTTACCTTACTCCCTGAGCTCTGACTTTTGCATGAAAGAAATACAAAGAAGTAGAGCAGAAGAGAGCTGCAGCATGACCCAGCAAAGTCCATAACTCTGAGTAGAAACTAGAAAATATCATAGGATCATACTGTGGAATCATATTCTAGGGCTGGAAGGGACCTTAAAGATCTTTGTGTTTCATTTCAAATCTCCTTGATTATGTTTTTTGGTTTTGCTATGAAGGGTTTGCATAGAGGAGTAGTCATTTTTTATGATCACATATTGGAAATGAGAGTTCTTTGCCATCTGACTATCCACATGTAAATACTTTCAGAGTTTTCATTCCTTATTAATAGCTTCTGCAGTAAGAGCTTTCCCTCCAACAATTTCTGCCTCTAAGTCTTTATTTTGGGATTTATTTCTGCTCACTGATTCAGCCTAAGACAATGTTGGGCAAAATAGGTTTTTACTAGCTGGTCTGAGACATGTTGAATGAGTGACAACAAAAATCTTTGCACTGAAGCACCTCTTGCATAAGCACATCCTTTCTTTGCAGGTGCTTGGCTGGATCCGGAATGGTGAATCAATGCTGAATGCAAGCCTCGTCAATGCAAGCTCCCTCTCTGAGGCTGAGCAGCTCCAGAGAGAGCATGAGCAATTTCAGCTGGCCATAGAGGTAACATGAGCAAATTAATTTGGTTTCTTCTTCCCAGGTGAATAGCAAAGGGTTATCTCTTGGGCATCACTCATGGCTTGTTTGAGGGAGGGAAGGGATAAAAACTTTGGAAAATTGACTTTGCATTAAAATCATAATGCAACAAGAGAGTTTATTTATCATCTGGAGCTATTTTTTTCTGCTGTCAGATATCAGCCTCTCCATTCCTGGAAATAATGCTCACACATCTTCTGATAATTTCTTTGGTTAAAAGTAATAACATTAAAATTCACAAAGCGATCTGAAGGCAGAAGTTCATGGAGTCATTCTCTTTCCATGTCCAAGATTTGCTGATCATTTCAGAGCTTTCATTTATGAGTATCTTTGATACTGGGTAATGCTCTCCTTGGTAAATGTTTGATTCAACTGTTATGTTTTTGATGTTCATTCAAACTCCCCCATACTCAAATTTTCAGTTTAAGCATGAGGTAGGAAGAGCTGAACTGAGCTGAACTGAACTCATGGCCCTGCTTGCCCTGGAGTAGCACATCTTCAGTTCAAGCTGGCTCTCAAAAACCACTAATCTCACTCATGGTGTAGGGACATGGCAGGGGGAACAGCGCTTTCTCTGAGCACCTTTACTTCGGATGAGAATGTAGTGGAAAATTATTACCTCCTCTCAGCAAAGGACTGCAGTGAATTGCAGAATCATAGAATCATTAAGGTTGGAGAAGACCTCTAAGTTCATCTAGTCCAACTGTTCACCCTTTGTGAACACTTTGGGTCAGCACTTACATATCTTTGCCATTATGAACACACGTTACATTTGCGAGGTGTGCTCACTCTAGTTATGTGTGAGAGGACACATTGCTTCCTCCTGTTCCTACTTAGCATAGTGTATATGCTTCCCCATCTATTTGTTAATTGCCACAAAGTAAAGAATTGGTTGGCAAATCCCTTTCTGTGGTTTGAAAAGCTAAATCAAAACTAAAGCAAACTTTAAGCTATAAAAACAATATTCCCATAGTGGAGATTTTAAGAGACGACCAAAAAATAAAGACTCCTTATGCCTACTGGTAAACTTCGGAGCAGTAAATATATGTTATAATGTAGCTGGTAAATAGAGAGTTTAGATATTACCAAATGACCCACTTTGATCCATCTTCACTCACAGTCAGGAAGGAGCAGCTGTGGTAAAGGAAGGGGTTTTCTATCAATGCTGTGTGAGCTGGTGGGTACCACGCCATGCTGGCTGCAGCCCAGCAGCCACTGCTAGGCAGCAGTAGGGGACAAGACACCCTCCAGCTGTGTTGTCACAGCTTGCTGCTGTTGGGGAAGGGCTTGGGTCTGCTAGGAAATGCAGATCACAGAGGGAGAGGTAGCCTACAGCACTGTAAGGGGAAAATAAGTTTTCAGAGGGAGAAAACACTAGATTAAACACTTAAACTGTTCAAAGCTCAATATGGGGAAGTGATCAGCAAAGCACATGGGGCAGATAGTCCTCTGAAGGCGTGCTAGATGTGGAATTGATTTTCAGTTAAAATCCTTTAAAGTCTATTTAAAACAAGTATTACGACTCTAGCATCAGTACAGCAGCTGGATATTAAATTTAACCAGTTGTTCTTGAACATCTTCCTAAATATTTCTGCCAAGTATTAATCCTTTTTTTTGCTAATAGCTTTCCTTACATTGCATAATTCACCAGTGTATCACCAGATGATTTCAAGCGTCTTTCAAGGTTCAAGAATTAGATCATAAATGTATCATATGAGAATTTGTCAGCAGCAGTTACCACTGAGATGCAGAACAGAGGAGACTTTGGGAGACTTTAGTGCTTCTGTTCAGAAGATTAAAATCAAATACTGGACTAACCCTGAGCACATTTACTTGGGGGCTGGGAAAGGCTGGAGACTATTTTCCCCTCAGCAACCTATGAAGGAAGCTGTAATCATTTGGTTAACAGAGATGCTAGTGCAGGCTGGGGAATGGGACAGATCACTCAGTCCTGCCTGTAAGCCCTGCTGCTCATGCCAGCAGACTGCCTGGAAAAAAAGCCCAACTGACTGGGATTTGCTTTTGTGCCTGCAGCCTGTGTGTGAGGCAGTCAGCACTGAGCACAGTTGGGGTGGGAGTTCAGCACAGTTACTGCCTGCACTGGGGCTGTCCAAAGGGGTCCTCCAGGATTCCCATCCTCACCCAGGCTGTTGTCCTAGGGGCAGTGGCTGGCCAGTGCATCTAGCCTATCTGAGCCAGTGCTTGCTTGTGCCAAGCTTTAATAATGTTGCAAATGTACATGAATAACTGAAGCTAAAATGCTTTGCAGAAATGAACTGTTAACTGGAGATAACCAGAAATGTTTCACTCTCTCACATCTCCATGCTCACACCTCACTTCACCTTTCTACCATAAATCTGGCACATCTGTACAACCTCTCCTCTCATCGTGCACAGTCCCTCTTTCATGCCACTTCCTTACAGAAGACACATCAGAGTGCCCTGCAGGTCCAGCAGAAAGCTGAAGTACTGCTGCAGGCTGGGCATTATGATGCTGATGCCATCAGAGAATGTGCTGAAAAGGTGGCCCTGCACTGGCAGCAGCTGATGCTGAAGATGGAGGACAGGCTCAAGCTGGTCAATGCCTCGGTGGCCTTCTACAAAACCTCTGAGCAGGTGAGCAGTGCAATTGCTTACAGTCTAGGACCTTTCTGTCAACTGATTAGGGCAAGTGTGGTCCTCAGGTACCCCCAGCCAACAAACACCAATGTGAGTACACTCCCACATGGTAGTGCTGGTGGATGTGGGTTTTCTACTCTGACCGCAAGTGCAGAGGGTCTTCTGCTGACTGTGGATCTCACAGCATTAGCAAAATGAATTGAAATGACATTTACTTCAGGGGCATAGCAGGGCTCATCCACACAAGGAAAATGAAGGTTGAACTGATCAAAACTGAGTTTCAAAAAGACAAATAGAAGTATACAATAATTTTCATCTTGAAGTTTTCATTGAAGCAATATGGAAGCCATATATTTTTTGACTTTTTTTACTTTTGTTTTCTAAATTGCCCACTTTCCAAAGTGAAGGATTTTGGAAATCCTACCACTTCAGTTTCAAGTCCTCATGGCATCAGAGTTCATTTTAAGGAATGTAAATCTTCATTTCCTTGAGAACTGTTTGCCATCAGTCATTTATTCTGTGAGCAGCAATAGCCAATATTTTCACCACCATGCCAAAAAAGATGCCAAGATATGAAGTGATTTCTCTTAAATCCACTTGCAGCACAGTTAATTACAGCAGTAGCCACTGTATGCAGACATAACGTTACTTCATTCCAGGCATCCATGAACTGTAAAACACATTCCAATTGGCTGCTGGTACATTGGATTATTTATGCATTGCATAAACTGATGCAAATTTACTGTAGTCAGTAGTGAGAATTAGTGTCATAGCATGGATACTCAACTAGTCTTGCTGATTGTAATTTACTGCAGCCAGGCAGTCTGTGTTAGTGTGGACACTGCAGAAACCTGTGCTTTTATGAAAAGAAGCAGTGACATTCATTAAAGTTTCTGTTGTTATCAGCACACAGTTAATTCCTCAATTAGACAAGCAGATTTGGAAAGTTTTTTTAACACAGCTAAAGATGTCATTGAGGACTGAGATAATTTTTCCTTAACATTGATGCAGGAAAAAATCCTTGGGCCACTTTTTGGTGTCATTTGTTTAATGCATTTTTAAGAGTGCTTAAAATTAATTCATTCCTTATAATGAATGTCTTTCCCTGTGAAGGGTTTCAAATAGATTTACAGTCCCTAATGCACTCAGGATTGAAAAGAATTACAGCTGTTGGAAGATTGTGAGAAATGAAAACCATTAAGGGATTCATTAGTTCTTTAGACAGTCAAATGTGCTGGCCAAAATATGCAGAGCCAGTGATTTATCAGTTTGGTCTCTCTTCCTATTTCCAAGTCATAGACAAGCATACTGCAGTGCCCACCAGTTCATTGATGAGTTGTGTCTGTTCAGCAAATGGTTGGGGCAAAGATCATTCAGTCTTGAATGCTCATAAACTTGCTACTTTCTCTGGGGCTCCATGATCTTTGACCCTTAGCAGTCTGATCCCTAACAGGATGGCAGTAATTCATTGGATCCTGAGTTCTCTGAGTACCTAGAAATGCAGCTAGAAGAGCGGCCAGAGAGTCTGTTCCAACCAGCCAACTTCTTCATGTCTGTCCTTCCCAAGAGCCCTATGCTCTTGTTATAACTGTTGCAGCCCTCTCTATTAGATAGTTTCTCTCTAACTTCATTAACCAAAGTGATCACGGAGTACCAAAGTTCTCAGGAGCCAAGAAATTAAATGGAAATGCTTTTCTATGCCAAAATAACATGGGTCATTTGCTCTCCAGTACAGGTTTGGGGGTGAGGGCTGGTTTGCGTCCAAGCAATAACTTGATTTCAGATTGTCACATGCCAGCAGGCATCAGTTCACCACAGCTCCCCAGTCTTAAGATGGATTTTGATGTGTTCATAAGTGGAGCTACGTGAAAATGGTCTGTGATAATGGAGAGCATTGGGTGATCCTGGAGTCTCTTCCAAATTATGCTCTTAAGCATGTGGGATCCTCTGAATTATAACTTATGTTCATATAAAGGTTGCAGGAGTAAAAAGCAAGAAAAGGGTGAACATGGTTAACTGGACTTTTGCTATTTTTCCTGTGTTTGCACAGGGTACAGAGAGTTACCCTCAGGATCTGCATTGCCTTGTCTAAGCCTGCTGCACACTGCAGGCTTTCAGACTGCACTTGTTTATTTGCCTTGTTCCCATTATTGCACCAAGATAGAGGATCCTCTTGTAAGCCCTGTACGGCAGAACACCTCCATCCACCTGGGTTACAACACTGGTTTAATGTCTATTGTTATCCATAAGTCTCTACAAAAGCTGCATAGGGAGCAGCTAACATGCAGCTGAACAGAATTAGTTCCAGCTTCAAAATTGTTTCAGGAAAGCATTCAAGCATATGTTTTTCTTTAAGTGGGTGCTAAGTTCCATGACTTGGTGGGATTTAAACAAACCTAAAGCACCCTTCAGGAATAGGGATAGTGTTCTGAATGATCCACTGGGGCCAGACTGACCCCTGCTTTGGTTCAACCTTTTGAGCTTCCCTCCTTTCTCCCTTAGAAAAGAAGGATTTATCACCCCTAAGCCAGATGAATTACATCCCAAACAGTAGAGATCACTGTGGGCAAGAATAACTAATAGATCATTCTGTCCAGGGCCTGCTTCATTGCCTGTTACCCTCCATCCTATGGCCAATAGTCTGAAATATTTAGGTCTGAAATTTTTTTGGCTCATAGACTTTTACTGACTGTGTTTCTTCTTGTTACAACTGTGGATAACTGCTGTGCTCTGGGTATGTTTCAGGTGTGCAGCGTATTAGAGAGCCTGGAGCAAGAATACAGACGTGATGAAGACTGGTGTGGAGGTCGAGATAAACTTGGACCAGCAGCTGAGATAGACCACGTCATCCCTCTGATCAGCAAGCATCTGGAGCAGAAGGAGGCTTTTCTCAAGGTCTCAGCTTAGTTCAACAATAAATCAGAAAATCTCCCCATTAGGTAGTCAATTTAGAGCACTGTTGGTGAGTTTGAGAGGAAGCTCTGAGGCATAATTCCAGTTCATTTACTGGCTGTCTGTCTGAGCCCTAAGCTAATTCCACACTGTTATAATAGTGGTGATAAGCATTATCATCAATGTTTATCTCTGAGAGATGTCATCAGGGCAAATTAGTGATATTTGCATTGCACTTGGAGGATGCTATTTATTATGTTGATTCAAAGCATTTGTTCTCAACATTGCATTATAAATGACAGGATTTTGGTGCTGGCTTATATAAATCATCCAGAATTTCAAATTCTGTCCTCCAAGCCAATAAGTGCAGAACTGCTAACACCTGAAGCCGTTGTGGCTGTGTAGGGCAGCACTGGGCTGGAGACTGAGCTTTCCTTCTGCCTTCCAGGTGCTGCTTTGTAAGAACAGCAGAGCCAACACTCGTAAGTCATCTGACAGGCAGCCTCACACCTTCCACTAAAACTGATACACAACATGAAGCTAGTCTGACTTAAGAAACAGTTCCTCTAGACTGTACTTTTGGTAGCACTGAATGCTCTTTTTGAGAGAGGGGTTAGCTCTGGTTAGACTGAAAATGTATGGGAGGTACTTGCCCTTTTAAACCAGGTGCTTGATTATTGTCATTAATTTGCCTTAAGATATAAAATCAACTGCTGAATCCAAAATGACTCATGTATTTTAATATATTCATGAGGCTGTAAGTTTCTTAGCTGAGTCTGTTGACTCTTAGCTGAAGCTCCCTCATATGAAAGAGAGATACATCTCCCTGTAAAATAGGTAGAGAGCTTGAGTCTCTTTTGCTTTCTTTGCTTGTCTTTACTAACCCTTCTCGGTGGGGGCCATTTTCCTTAGGCCTGCACACTGGCTCGAAGGAACGCTGAGGTATTCCTCAAGTACATCCACAGGAACAACGTCAGCATGCCTGGAGTTGCAAGCCATACACGGGGGCCTGAGCAGCAAGTGAAAGGTTGGTGCGCTGATGCATGACAACGTTAGAAGTCTTCTTTGGTTCTCCCTCTGCTAAGTTCCAAGGTGGTCCAGAATAAAAGAAATACCCACCTACCTGTGGGTAGTTTCCTTTGGTCAAAAGAGCATTGTTTACAATCAAACTATACATCTGACATGTTTGAAGTGTTTCCACTTCTCTGCTAAATTAAACATTTGTTAATCTGTGCCTAGCAATGCTGTAAGGTACTGATAAGAGTGAGCAAAGCAAATCCACAGAACTAAAGCATTTTATTATTATTATTGGCTGGCTTACAAGCTGCAGGAAGAGACAGGTTAATAGCAGTGCAGCCATTATAATATGTGGGAGGGATGAGAACTGCAGTTACATGTAGAAGATGAAAATAGTGCTACTGAAAAAATTATTTTTCTTCCTTTCTATTAATATCAACATTGCAGTATTATTCTGACTTTTGTCCATTTTTCCCCTACTACTGTGCAAATTTTTTTTGCAGTTGCTGTGAACTTCTATTCCCTGCAGCTGAAAATAGTGGGAAAATTATTTGAATGCTTTTTCAGAGTTCCCCCTATATATGTGCTTGATATAAGCTTCAGTATTCCTCACTGGGCTTGTTTGGAAGTATTTGCATATTTAGAAATCAGTGTGTATGTTAGTCTTGTTGTAATCCAGATGTGTAACTCTCTTGCTTAGTGAGCCTATCCATGGAAAATCTTTGAAGTAGACACTTTAGTTCAGAATAAAAGCACTGTTTAATAGAACACGATGCGTCTAGAGCTAAGTCATCAATATAGAACAAAAATAGCTTTATTTAGCCTGAACTATTTATACAGAGAACTGATCAGTATACTCAAAAAGGGCTTTGGGGAAGAGAGATTATTTACAAGGTGCTCGTAGTAACTCTAAGGGATCGATGAGCCGAACTCATTGTTTTAATACAAAATAGTGCGCCTGCTGCACAGACTGCATGAGCCTATGCCCCCTCTAGTGGATGCCACACTAGCATCTCCTCCTATATCAGATAACCCTGCAACACCACCTTTTTATTATTGCTTTTTAAAGCAATTTCTTTGAATCAATGCTTGTTTTAATACATGCAATCTCTGGGGCTGTGTGCTTGAGAGTGTGGTCCAGGCAGAGTGAGTAAATTCATGTTTTTTATGGCTTATTTCTGTATGCATTCACAGAATCACTAACCATGCAGTTCCTCTACCTTACAGCCATCCTGAGTGAGTTGCTGCAGAGGGAGAACCGGGTCCTTCACTTCTGGACCCTGAAGAAGCGGAGGTTAGATCAGTGCCAGCAGTATGTTGTCTTTGAGCGCAGTGCCAAGCAGGTAAAAACCCTGCTGCCTTTCTTTGCTGGCAGTGTGTAAATATGCCTTGTGTCCATGTCGTGCCTCTGTGGGGTTCCTGTTGCAGTCTCAGTTGTATTTAAAAGCTATTCCTTTTTAATGGGTGGAAAGTATACATTCTTAAAACAACCGAAGAAAACTCCAAAGTTCAGCAACAAAACCATGTATTTTTGCCAGGCCATATTCATTTCAGGATGTATTAATCTGTTTGAAAATAAATAAGAGAACAAATATATTTTGTGGAGCTCTAATTGAATGGGAACACTGCCTTCTCTCTCTTCAGATTTTTCTTTCCAAAGATAGAATTCCCTACACTCCTTTTTCTCCTAGGAAACATCACCTTTTGTGTCCTTTCCCATCTGCTTTAATTATTGTGTTCTTTTTATATCTTCCTAGAAAGCATTTTGATACACACAAAATTATGGCTCATTGTTCTGATATCCATTATCTGGCAGATTATTTTGTTGGAGGATTAGTTCTTGAAACATAAATACTATTTATTTTGTTGTTTCTTTTTTTCTCTTTCCTTTTGATATTTGTAGGCCCTGGACTGGATCCAAGAGACAGGCGAATATTACCTCTCTACTCACAACTCCACAGGGGAATCTGCAGAAGAAACTCAGGAACTCCTGAAGGAATATGGGGAATTCAGAGTACCTGCGAAGGTAAGGAATGACATTAATCTAATTGTGACCTATGCTTTGGTCTATGTTTATGGCCCTCTCAATGCCTTAAATCTTTGTGATAATATTCTCTTGATTTTGTATTTTCATCCTGAAACTCCTAGCCCAAAGACGAATGTCTTTTGTCAACTGTGACTTTTCATTTTTAGCAAGGCACAAGTACAAAATTGAGGTTGTCCCTTGGTGTGTGCTGGTTATGGAGCATTTTGCTCTGATCAGAATGAAGAGAAACTCCATTTGCATACATGGCACAGCATCCTAATGGAACATAGCCAAATTTTGTCCTTAGACAATCTTACAAGAATGATGTAGAGTGCCTAATTGACATGTTATATCCACGGTCATCTTGAATTCTCTCTTTCTTCCTTTTAACCTGGAGAGGCCCAGGGGGTTCTTGTCATATCATATAAATGCCTGAAGGGAGGATGTAAAGGTGACAGAGCCAGGCTCTTTTCAGAGGTGCCCAAAAGCAGAACAAGAGGCAGTGGGCCTCTGAAACATGGGGGGTTTCTTCCAACCATCAGGAAGCACTTCTGTGTTGTGAGAATGGCTGAGCACTGGCACAGCTTGCCCAGATAGGTTTCTACTTGAAAGTCTGCAGAAGTCACCAGGACATGGTCCTGGGCAGCCTGCCCCAGGTGAGCCTGCCTGAGCAGGGATTGGACCAGGTGTACCTAGAGGTCCCTTCCAATCTCAACTGCTTTGTGATTCTGTCATCACAACCACCATTTGTTTCATTAATTCCAGCTGGACTGATCATAGACGATCGTTTATCTTATTCCACTCATCCCAGTGAAGTACTTCAAATAAATGGGTTTGTAAACTCTAGGGTGAGCATAAAACAAAGCTGCATTACCAAGAATCTATTAATTATAGATGGAATATATGGAACAATTCTGAGAAATCTGATGGGGTTTACAGAGGAGTAGTGATTGGTCCTGCTTCAGACAAATTAATTCAAACCATAGGTAATTCACAGACAATGAACTCACAGGGGTATTAACAGTCACTGATAAGAATCTAAACTGCCAAATCAGGCAGCAGGACCACAGCTTCACTGTCGTGTAGCTTCATTTTGCTGTGTCCTGAAATTGATCTTCTGTAATCCTTAAATTCCTCATTAGGCTGTCCATGCTTGCTTGGGTTTGATTCACAGATTTTATGTTCTTCTTGTCCCTTTCCTTTTTCCTGAGTTTGCACATTTGTGGGAAAAAAAGATAAATAGCGGCAGACTGAAATTAATTTAATCAGACAGGCACCGTGCAACATTTCTTAAACAGAACCTCTCTATCAGCTATCTACAGTCATTCCAATTATCATTCAGTTTGGATCAGACAAATCCCATTGTGTCCTGGAGCATCCAAACTATTTCTACTCATGATGTAACCTGGAATTAAGTTTTATACCTTGATCCTTACTGACTGTTACTGGCTGTTCCTTCCACTGATACATCTAGTCCTGCTCCCTTGGGCTTTGATAAATCACTCTTAGACTGCTGACCTATAGTTTTCCCAAGGCCACGTGCAACCTGGTAAATGCAAGTCGCTTCCAGATGATGATATTCTCAAAGTAAGCTGTAACTGAAAGCCTTCTGATCCTAGTACTTTCTGGCCAAAACCAATGTTTGGATAGCAAATACAGTAATAGCTTTTGGAAATGAGACACCCTTTCATATGACAGGAAGTCAGATTTTTACTCCTCCATACGTAGCTTTGCTTAACTACTTACTTTATTTGTTAGGACGGCCTCTGATTCTCCTGTTAATTTATTTTGTCATTGAAATTTCTATAAGGTTTCAAACATGAAACTAAACTCAGGAAAACATGGATCTAACATGTGCTTGTCCATTTGTGGCCAGATTGCTAGTAACATCAAGCACTTGACAGCATGTCTCGTGTCTGGCAAAGAGCATCACACCACTATTTCTAGGGATCCAACTGATTCTCCTTTCACTTTTGAGAATTAACATGTGCACTGCAGCTGGAGTTCAATCCGTACAGTTGATAACTCTTTCTATAAGCATTTTGTACTTCATTTGGCTTAAGCAGAGAGTTCAGGTACCTTCAGTAGATTTGGAATCTATGCTAAAATTTATGACTACCCATTGTGCCAGATCTGCACAAAGTTCCTCAGTATGAAAAGCCATGATGACTAGGAGGTGGTCAGACCCAAATGGAATAGAAAATACCTCAGGAAGATTATGGGGGCTCAATGTATGTTTTGGAGTTCAGGCATCTTTTACTTTGTAATGCTCCAACTGGCACTACGTTTCTGATGCAGAGAGTAGTGATTCAGACTCCCTTCCTGGCCTGATGCACAGTGTGTTAATGACCTGCCTGCACATGTCTGCAAAACCACCTAGGTACAGATTCAAAGTAACGTGGTGTGTTTTATGAGGTGTAATTTTAACATCCTGTCTTCTACACTAAGGCTCACAAAATGCCTAAAAGCTTTTGATTATGAGGAGATGTCTCTAACTTCCAGCATGTTTTGTGTTTGTGTGTGGTTTCAAATGACTTGACTTTCTATATCTCCTGCAGCTACGTAACTGTCCTTATGAAAATGTCATTCCTTTTATGTTTTACTGGGCAAAGTTTAAAGCATCTGATTCTGCATGATCTGAAGTACAGATGCTGTTTAATAACAATATAAAATTGTGGGTTCTTTCTGATTGCCGTGTGAATTAAAAGAAATAATGGTAGTGTAACATAACCGGGACCATATTTTGGGCAGCAAACAAAGGAGAAAGTGAAGCTCCTCATCCAGCTGGCTGACAGCTTTGTAGAAAAGGGACATATACACGCCACTGAAATCAGGAAGTGGGTCACCACCGTTGACAAACGCTACCGTGACTTCTCTCTCAGGATGGGGAAATACCGCTACTCCCTGGAGAAAGCCCTTGGAATCAATACAGAGGTACTGTAAGTCCATGTCCTTCTGAGATTTTGTACCAGATCTGAAAGTCACAGAGGGAAGAGAAGGCCGTGAAATGAGTGTTGCAAGTTAGCATGTGTATATTAGAACCACTTAAAATCTAGTTGGCCTCAGGACTGCTCTTTCTGATGAGAAAAAGGTTTTTTGTGACTTATTGGTGGTAGGAGGAGGAGTCAGATGGAGATCAGAGAGAATTTCTGTACAACTGCTTGCTCTGTTCTCCAGGAGACTATCCAGCTACTGTGAAGGCAGGGGGAACACATTATTTGAATAAAAGTCTGTATTAATTTTAGCATAAACCATAGATATTACTTCCATGCCATTGTGTTGAATTAGACCCAGGCTTTGACTGTAAGTTTCCATTCTCCCATCCTTTAACTGAATGTAAAATTGGTCGCCAACCTCCTAACCTCTGCTAGGTGAAATAGAGCAATACAAGACTAACAAAAATAAGAACCTCATGCTATTTCCTGGCTGTAAAAACACTTAAAAACCTGCTGATCAGTCACCCTGAAAGTAAAGTATCAAAGATGAATCAATTCCCTCACACCCTTAAGATAAATGTGCTCTTCTTTTATCCTTTCTTATGCATTTAATCTCACAACCATGATGCATTTTACACAACAGTAGATTACAATGGACTTAAAGTCTGCTCTGTTACTGCTTTTAGGATAACAAGGACCTCGAACTAGATATTATTCCAGCAAGTCTGTCAGACCGGGAGGTAAAGCTGCGAGATGCAAATCATGAAGTCAATGAAGAAAAAAGAAAGTCAGCCAGAAAGAAAGAGTATGTCCCAAAACTCCCTGAGAGTGCCATGACACATTATCTAAAAGTGATTCTGTGATACCTGCATGACTAGAATGGGATGACAGCCCGTTCTTTCCAGCTGTGGAGCTCTTGAGATATATGTACAGTTGTTGAGCAAAAGCTGTGACTTGTAGGCAAGAGAATCTCAAAACATACAGTTTGACTTTCTTTTGGTTTTAATCAGAGGTTACTTCTAGAAAGGGAAAGGAATGAGATGAGCACTTTGATCAGAGTTTGGTACCACTGAGATACTTCACTGTCATGATTTCTTTCTGGCTGTATGTGACAGCTACAATGAACAGGGTGACTTTCTCATCTCTCTGAAGTAGTCAGTACCATTTCTCCTTCAGAAGGCAGTGGTACACTTGGTCCTTCAACGGCACATTTTCAAAACATTGAGCATTTGAACTTTGGGAGACCCAGCTTGAGACACTACAAATGTGGTTGCTGGAGTTCCCATTGGTTTGGATACCAAGTTGTTGTAGCCTTCTCAAATTAGTTGTGTCTGCCAATCCTCAGTGTTGCTGCTGAAGTTCATGTTTCAGGGTGGCTTACAATTGCATAGTAGTGAAGTTACAGGACTTGTTGTGGAATCTCAACTCTTTTTTTCATGGAAAAAAATTACTGAAAATCACCTAGCTATTTAATTTTGGCAAGTAGACAGTAAATCACTCCTCAGTTTGCAAAAATACAACTGAATAGAATTTTATGCAGAAAAGTTGTTTAAAAAATAACCCTACAAGGAACTAGAGTATTAACTGATATTTATTTTGTTGAACTGAATGGTGCAAAGTGAAGCAGCTGAAGGTTTAGAGTGGAAGTCCATTGATTCATTAAAGACAACAGGAAGATGCTGTGTTTTCTCTTCATTACATTGCCTGTAATGTTCAGCACCCCTGAAATACTTTCTTTTTCCAGATTCATTATGGCTGAACTTCTTCAGACAGAAAAAGCTTATGTCAGGGACTTACATGAATGTTTAGAGGTAAGTTACAGCCTGGAGAGTGCCCAGTACTTTTAGGAAGGGCATGGTATCCTTTGCATTGGTGGTGTGACGGTACCCACCATTAGTGCCTGGTCACAGGGCCATGTCCTACTGGCGGTGGGAGCTGAGTGGGAGTGGAGGGAGCTGGTCACCCCATGGCAGAAATACACGCTGTGCTCCCCATGTATACCTCTAAAGTCTGCACTTCTGGGGACACCTGATGTGCCTTGAATTGCAAAGCTGTGCTTATCCTGCACAGAGTAAGAGCAATGTCCTGGAATTCAGTAAAGAGCAGTTTGTGCATTGACCTGAAATTTGTTGGATTCTAGGCTTTTTTTCAGTCATGCAGCATTTCCTTAAGAATTTAAATCTCTTACTTTGGATCATCTCAAACTAGAGATTGCCTCAAGCTAGAGGAAGAGCTGGATATGTACAGTCAAATACTTACATAGCTCTTTAACGAGGTAGTTCTGAAGGAGACAGTGATATTCAGGGCAAAAGGCATGCTTTTTTAGTGAAATCTGTCAGCTTTCATATTCCTGCAGTTTCAAATAGATTTTTATGTGTCTAATGCTACTGAAGTGCCAAATCCAGTTTATCTTTCAATTGTTTCTGCCTGCAGTTCTTGGACAACATCAGTTGGACAGCAAAGACAGGTGCTATTGACATGTTTTTGCTTTGTCTCAGACAACTTCTCAGCTTTAGCACTTTGAATTTCTCTGGAGAGCTTTTTGTGACACTGGAACATCTGTTTTTTTTACCTTATTTGTTTAATCTCAAAGTGCGTAGTTCCCTTGTCAGCCCATAGCTTTGGCAGCAAAACAAGGATATCTATTCTTTTGCACTGCATTTGTTCTCAAAGCTAAGATTTGCTGATGTCTTCCAGACTTACCTTTGGGAAATGACAAGTGGAGTGGAAGAAATACCCGCTGGGATCCTTAATAAAGAACACATCATCTTTGGCAATATTCAGGAGATATATGACTTCCATAACAAGTAAGTTTTCCTAACATTTTTGTTGATGTTTACTGACTAAGGAAACTAAAGGCATGTGTATACTTATACATCTATATGGTATCAGCTGTGAATGCCTGCAGTACAATGCACATCAGAATGCAAAGTAATTGATCCAAATATGCAAAATAATGTTTGATGCCTTGTTTTGTTTATTTTTACAAAAATGAATTGCATCTTTGTTTAAACTTTGCCTATAGTTGATTAGCAGTGTTGAAGTCGTATTACACCAATGGTTTGTAGTCCTATAAGTGCTTTTCATCTCACAGCACAGTATTTGTGTTTTGCAAAAGAATAGGACTCTGAGACAGCAGGCCTTCAGTTTTACAGTTGGTGAAATGAGATCTTGGTGGATGCATCTAAGTTTTATTGCTTCTGGTGCAGAAGCACATAAGGAGTGATCTTTTTGAAGATTCACTGCCTGGTTCTTGCATATCAGTTTGTCTTCCTAAATACAATGACTTCTACTAAGGATTGTTACATTTTCCTTGTAGTTGAGTGGGGCACGGTTGTGCTCAAATAGCAAAGCATGCCTTGGCAAGGACACAGTTTCTCCATTGGCAGCACACTTGATTAGCCTTGTAATCAAGATACAACTACCAATCATTAACACTGATCTCATTGGTCATTTTGCTTCTCTTGGGTATTTGATTGTAACTAATGACATTGGTGTCTTCTTTTTTCAGCATTTTCCTGAAAGAACTCGAGAAATATGAGCAACTGCCTGAGGATGTGGGTCACTGCTTTGTCACCTGGGTAATGAAGCAGCTGCTTTTCTTTATTTACTCAAATTAATTCCTCTGGCACAGATGGAAACGAGCTGAGAATTGGTGCAAAGGTTATTCCTTGGTGACAAGGGCTATAACAAGAACTGCTTCCTCCTTAGCTCTCCCCTTCCTTAGCTTTTCTCCTGAGCAGTAGTGTGAAGGCTTTCTGGAGTCCTGTTCTTCATCCTGCACTGACCAGCACAGTGCCTAAATCTGCTGATTTAACAACCAGTTTAAAAGGATTTTGTCAAACCAAATGTCTATTTAGGGGTAACATTAGTTCCTTTGCAAAGGGCCCTGAGAGGAAGAAATCATCATCTACTCTCCTTAGTTATGCTTGAGACCTTTACAGAGGCATGAACATCTTCTTTTATCATCATTTTCCTTCAGAAATTAGTGTCAGACTGTTGAGCCACTGTACTCTCTCATTCCATTACCCACTGCCAGGAAAATTTCCAACGGGGCTTTGAAATCTTGATGCTAAGAGTCTTCATGGGCACAGGAGGTTACAGTAGTTTATCTGTATGAAAACCATTCTCTTTTTAAGAAGTTTGCCAGACAAGTCAGCCATCTTCATGTTTTCATTGCTGGTTTTATTTGTGTTATAAAGCTGAGAATTAAAATTTTTGAAGTCATTATAGAACTTTTTCATTTACCAAAACAATGAGCATGCTTGAGTGGTTTCAAATGGGCTTTTGATTTCAAAAGATGGCATAAATACTGATGAAATTGATTCAGAAATATTATTTACAATGAAGAAGTTTATATATTTATGAAAGATGGAAACATTTACATATAATCCTGTGCAAAATCTTCACTTTCAAGATTGTACCACATCATCTCAGCAAGAGTACATGTTCAGCGCTGTGTGTGCTTATAGGCATACACACAATACTGTGTGCCTAATTGCAAGGTCTTGTTATTTAGATACTTGCTATAGAAAATGTTGCGCTAATCAGAGAAGTCCATCCTCCTCTCCTCTCCCTGAGACCCACACTGAATAAATACAAAGCTGCTGTAAGGCAGAACAACACAGATGCTTTTAATTTCCTCTTAAAAATAAATAAATTAGGAAATGAAATGCAAAACTCTCTTAGCACAACATAAAGTTTGAGCCATTAAAGTCTGAACCCAGGTAGGAGTGGCAAGTTTGAGCCAGCCATCACAGATCTGAGCCTGAAATCAGAAGTGTTGGCTCCAGTTTGCTTGAGCTGGGTGAGCTCTTGCTCAGGGTTTCCACACTGGCTTTATCTGCAAATAGGTGTTAGAGTCAACACTTCATGACTGGGATTTGAGACCTTCTGACATTCAGATACAATCTGTGCAACCTCATCAGAGCTCTCAGAAATTATTTTTCATCTGGATTAAAGTTCTAGGTTTCCTTCTGTTACAAGTGTTTTAAAAAAAAGCTTCCCATAGCTGTTATACGGTGCACCTCATTCCCTCAGAACTGCTCAGGTAAGGTATGAACTGCTGCTAAGTATTAATTCATAATTCTCACATTGCTTTAGGGTTTTATCACTTGTGTTTGTCCTGGAGAGCCTTAATGAGAGACTGTGAGGGCAGAAAAAAACCTTATCTTGCTTTTCCCTTGATGTTTGTTTTCGCAGGCAGATAAATTTCAGATGTATGTCACCTACTGCAAAAACAAGCCTGACTCCAGCCAGCTCATCCTGGAACATGCAGGGACTTTCTTTGATGTAAGCAGCTATTGCCGTTTTCCTTCTGCACACATACCACAGCTGAAACACCTTATCTTTACATCTGAGCAAAAGATTCCTTTTGGTGCCTTGGCATTTGGGTTTTCCATTCTGCTGCAGATACCACATGCTGTGAAAACTGATGGGCTGCAGTGTGATATGTGATCTTCATCAATGTGGCAATGCACTTTTAGCAGAGACCAGCATTCTTATAGGAGCCTTCATGCATTTTTCAGACCAAATCACTTCTAAAGATCTGGTTTAGATATACTTTCTGCTTCCAGGTATAGTGGTAAAATGAAAAGCAAATCCTATTATATTTTATGACCAGAAATCCAAAACAAGATCCTGTCCACCAGTTCTACAAATCTTACCCACTTGAGTAACTTTTGCTTTGTTGTGCTGGTAAAGGAGACCGCTGCTTGCTAATTGCAAGCAGTCTCCTTTACAAGTTTCCTTTACAAATGCTACACCTGGTAATAAACATTTGCAGGCTCTAATCCTGGTTTTATATACCGCTTTCCCTCTGATTTTAGAGCCTCGTTCATTTTGCCTTGCTTATCTGTTAACTTATAGCTTTAGATAATTGTTTTCCTGGGGGGGAAAAAAAAAAAAAGAGAAAAAAAAAAAGAAAAAAGAAGAAGAAAAAAAGGAAAAAAAAGAAATACTTCATGTCTTTCTTCCAAAGCACTGAAAATCCTTTTACAAATGTAACCTCTCAGCAGGATCCAACCTGTAATGTTGTTGGCAGCTGACACGAATCAGCTCCTCTGGGTTTAGTCTGTGTCAGTGATCAGAGTGTTTCAATTAAACACAGGGAGAGCTCATGTGAGCCTGAAGAGATTTTTTTTTTTTTTTTTTTTTTCCTTATTACTGATTTAAGCAGAATTGAACCGAAATGGATTTTCCAGGAGGTGGCGCTTGAGCCTGTTGAATGGTTTGTAATGGTGGTGGAGAAGTGATGGAGGGGTGAGCATCCTTAGGGGTACCAAGGTGTTTCTTCTGCTAAGATTTTCCACTCTAGTTCTATGTATGGGCTAGAAACCTTCCTGATGTTGCTTAAGAGCAACACTTGTAGAGTGCTTCTGCAGTTGGAATGGCCAAAGGAGACACCACAGTGTTCATTGGTTAGCATCTGCTGTTTTGCAGGAGGTTATGTTTTCCTTTCACTGGTGGGGATTGTGGAGGGCTACTCTGTAGTGCCTATGCAAAAAGGGAATGCAGATTATTGCCAAAAACTCCTCTAGGCTCTCAGACCAAGTGACTAAGGTAGTGCAGAGTAATGGCAGATCCTTCTGATTTTCACCTTAGAGTAGCAGTGGTCAAATGGCAGGATGGCTTTCTTTTTTTCCCAAACGTGGAATTTCCCAAAACACCCTGATGAAGAGAGAATTAGCTAGAATAATGCCCCTCAGCATGAAGCCTGCTTGAAAATCTTCCCAGATTGCTTAAACCGTCATATAAAGGCAGGTTTGAGATGAAAATAAACAGTCCCAGCAGTCTGAACTCATAAAGTCCATGGAAAAGGTTTGGCTGCAGGGCTCATTTCAAGGGTTAGCTCATTAGGGGAAGGAGCAAAGATAACTGATGTATCTCATTTGAAACTGTGAAGAGAATTAGCAACAGTGCTTTTGGAGCTGGGATGTTCTGAGAACTTGCCTAGTTTATTCTATAGCTTTATTCTAAGATAAAGATGGCTATTTTCCCTCCCTACAGATCTTGCTGTGCTTATAAACTTTCCAAACTAAAATTTACCCTCTAGCTGCAGATAAGTCTCATCTTTTCCCATAGTATCAGGAGGCAGCCTGGCAGAGGGCAGGGAATCCTGGCCTGTTCTGCTTCAGCACACAGCTTGCCCCTATAGGGCATGGGGGATAAGAGCATCCTTTAGATGGCCAAATGTGTGCAATAGCATCTCATGGGATTGTCAAAGTGGAACCAGCTGCAGGAGGCAGCTGGGCCTTTTGCTGGACCTCACTGGGTATCAGTGTCTGCGGAAGTTCACAATCACATCACAGTGATCAAAATAGACATTTTGGCTGAGATTCAGAAATATTCTGTGCTATCAGAGGTATCATAAGAATCTCTCCTGGCCCCAGCTGCCACCTAGGAGCACCACAGGTCTGTCAGCACTGTCAGCCCTGCTGCTCCCGTGTGGATATTTCAGCTACCCCAGGGCTTTTGGATGGCACTAGATTCTTATGTTTAGACAGCTAAACTGCACCCAACTTGTGCAATTTAATTTCATGTCTCTTTATTTTAACTGAACGTTAAAACTCTGCTTTCAGCCCTCATATCTGAGAGGAACCAATTGACTTGATGGATAAGTCATATATAAATTAAAGCCTGTGTAGCTTGCTTAGCATAGCATCAGCTAAACTTGCGGATTGCTCCTGCAGTTTGAATGGCCAAAGGAGACACCACAGCTTGTTGCCAACTTTTCTGGAACCACACTGCTCACTACATGTGAGCTGGAAGAGAGTTAAAAAGCTACACAGAGATACAGAGCTGAAGTTATGGGTAGTTCTGTCTCACTGGGGGTTAACAATTTTCCGTAACTGATTGTTGCTTTTATCTCTTCTAGGAAATTCAGCAAAGGCATGGTCTGGCCAACTCTATCTCTTCTTATTTAATCAAGCCTGTCCAGAGGATCACAAAATATCAACTCCTCCTGAAGGTACCTTAGTGAGCTGACCAAATTGGGTCATGCAGAGCAGCTCACGGTTGTAATGAGTTAAATTCCAATGCAGTGACAACTCTGTGCCTTATACCAGGTTACTGCAATGACAGGCTTACTACAGCCCTGTGAGTATCTCAGCAAGCCTGCAGTGCACAGCCAAAGCTCCCGGGATGGCCTATACATGCTCTCAGTCCTCACCGCTCTGGGCTGCTCCTCAGAACCTCCTTCCAGAAGGAGCTCACCCACCCTGGGTGTAATGCAGCCTGCACTGTGCTGAGGGGCTGCTGGAGGCCTGCTCCCAGCTGGATAACTGCCCAGAAACCCTCTGAGTGAGCTCCCATTCGAGGGCACCTCACTGTCTTGCTTCTTAGTTATTTCCATTCAATCCCTGTTATTTGCAAGCATCCACAGTGGGTGCAGTCCAGCTTTATTCTGTCACTGTAAGTGACATGGTTGCAGTGTTGCAGTCTACATACCAAAAACATGGTCTAAGATAAAGCCAGCATGTTGGTCAGTTTGCTTACAGGTGTTCTGCATTGCTTCTTAGGAACTGCTTACCTGCTGTGAGGAAGGCAAAGGGGAACTCAAGGATGGTCTGGAAGTGATGCTCAGTGTCCCCAAGAAAGCTAATGATGCAATGCATGTCAGCATGCTGGAAGGTACAGATGGGTGCCTGCGGCAGAAAAGGGCCTTAGGAGTGAATTAAGCCTTCTTGTACCTTGTTTAGACAGTTAGCACAGATTGACTGTAGCAGTACTGTTGGCTGATCATCATTTTCAGGTAGCTCTTATGTATACATGTAGTTAGTATATGTTTATATACATACATATTTATTTGCTGAAAATTTTCCTACATACTGAAACAAAAAAACCCCTCTGAAACTATTTCTGTAGCTGTAATCATGGCTGCAATGATTAAAACATTGCACTGGAACAGTCTGCCCAGAGAGGTGGTAGAGGCACCATTCCTGGGCATGTTCAAGAACTGTGGAGATGTGGCACTGAGGACATGATTTAGTGGACAGTATTTCTAGCTGGTGAATAGTTGAGCTAGATGATCTTAGAGGTCTTTTCCAACCTTACTGTTTCTATGACTTCTAAATACTATCTCAGTATTTCGAAAGAAAAAGTTCTGGTTTTCTGAGTCAAAACATCTTGTGGTTCAAAACATTGGTGAAATCAGCCTAAAGATTAATAATAAATAAATAAAATATCCGATCATAAAGCATTTCAAAATTACAGGGGGAAAAAAAAAGTTAAGCCTTTCACTGACTTTTTGATATGTGGAGTATTTCTGAAATTTGAACATTTTAATCAGGACAGTAATGATTTATTGTCTCTAAAGCATTTTCTTGGCAAAAAAAAAAAAAAAAAAAAGATTTCATGTCTAGCTTGAATCAGAAAAAAAAAAACAAAAAAAGTACCTAAGCAGCACAGGAAGTCCAGGTGATTACAATTGCTTGGGTGTGAATTGATCCAGTGTGGGTCAGAATGTACAGAGGATGATTTTCACTGTGGTTTTCCAGTATAGCTCTTGAGTAACTTGTCCCCTTGAGATGAGTAGCACCATGTGATAGTAGAAAAATAGCCTCTGATAGAATAATTATGTCGTGGCAGTGGACTAACAAAAGCAAAAAAATAATTTCACTGGGGCAGGAGGTGCCCATAAATGTCTTTTATGAATATAAAGAAGAGAAAGACCCTTTTACTGCAAGTCTTCCTTGCTCTGATGTTCCTGAGCATTACTGGCACCAAGAACTAATACTATGTTAGGTGTTAACCAGTGTGTTTTGTGTTCTCTATTTAGGGTTTGATGAGAATCTAGATGTCCAGGGAGAGCTGATTCTTCAGGATTCCTTCCAAGTGTGGGATCCCAAATCACTCATTCGGAAAGGCCGTGAGAGGCATTTGTTTCTCTTTGAAATCTCTTTGGTGTTTAGCAAGGAGATCAAAGATTCTTCAGGACACACAAAATATGTTTACAAGAACAAGTTACTGGTAGGTGTGGCTGAAGAGAAATAATGCGGTTGTTGCATTTCTTGTAGGTAGAGGTAGAGTTTGGGAGATGGTGTATGTGTCCCCACATTGGGTGGGAATATTCACGCCACCTGAAAGGGCTGGCCCTGGGACCAGTGGGAGGCTAAACCTGCAGTGAGCCTGGAAGGGTTTGGGACAGTGAGATGTGATGAGTGTGTGGAAAATGCAACGAGGATCAGTCAAACCATTCGCTCTTCTTTGCCACCCCCTGATGATTTTCTGTGCCTTCTATCCTCTGATCCATACCTGCATTCCCTGCTTGCCCCTATAAATGTAAAGTTTTCTCAACTCCTGAGGCTTAACCTGTATAAAATCTCTCATCATCTTTCCTCCACACTAGACCTCAGAACTGGGAGTGACTGAACATGTTGAAGGAGATCCCTGTAAATTTGCCTTGTGGTCTGGACGAACACCATCCTCAGACAATAAAACAGTGCTAAAAGTAAGTCTTTTCGCGCTTGTTTTCTTTGCCTTTAGAGCTGCAAGTTGAGGCCTCAGGAGCCCTAAAGTGAAAGGTCAGTTTCTCCCCTCCTCATTGCTTCCATGTCTGTGGTGGGGTCAAGCTTGCATGAGGAGCAATTTGATTCCAAGACCACAGTATGAAAGAAGACAGTGCAGTTATGCAGCCTTGCTGAAATAGCCTCTCTTGCAATCCAGGTTGAGCAGCTGCATGCTGATGCAAGGCACATCTCAGGGTGTTGGACTGGGAGGTGTAATTCTCTTAGTCCTATGCCGCTGGGCATATCAGCAGTCAATAATTTCCTCAACCCTCCAGAGCTGAAAGCCATTTCAGTCAAGTGAGTTTCTAATGAAGAATTTATGTTGTAGTTATTTTGTCTGAGGAAATCTCAGCTGTGCACTGATAACCTATTTCCCCTTCACAGAGCATGCTGCATTACTAGCATTAAATATATCCAGAGCTTAGCTGCTTTGCTATGGCTTGCCAAATAGGTCTGGTAAAATACCCTCAGTTCTCCTGGGGTTCCCAGGTATTCCAGTAGTTGGTGCAATACAGCAGAGAGGAAAAAGTTAATTATGCATTTTCATCAGCCAATCAGTATTCTTCAGAGGAGGTGATATACTGGGAATTTGATAAAGTGTCTGTCCTTCTGCCTTGTGGAACTTTAGGCATCAAGTATTGAAACAAAGCAGGAATGGATCAAAAATATCCGAGAAGTCATCCAAGAAAGAATTATCCATCTGAAAGGAGCTCTGAAAGAGCCAATTCAGCTCCCCAAGACACCAGCAAAGCAGCGAAACAACAGTAGAAGGTAACCTCAGTCGCTGCACACAACATGAAGTCACTAGAGATTTGTAAAACGATAGCAATGTATTGTTTGTGGGTTTTTTACTGGATTCATTTGCGTTTTCTGACCATAGTTAAAAGCTGTTTTCATCATCTTTGCTTGTTTTATGTTATCTTGGCAAAAGTAGCTTTTCCATGATATTCATACAAAGGTCTTTAGTACTCTAAAGTATTGGAGAGAAATGTACAGTAAAAACTTCTTCAGAGTCTAAGGTTATGTTTCTTTCCCAAAGTAGAATTTACTTTTTCAGATTTGAGTATTAACAGATTTTTTTTTTCCTATGTGGTATTTTAAACTGTTTGACAACTAAAGTCACAGCTCATTGTGACATTCTATTACCAGAGTGGAGTATCTGTGCTTTGTCATGAAATATGAAATTCACTTCAGCCTGGGAGGAAATATTAAATTGTTTTGGTCAATCCCAGATGAAACAGAAATTATATAAAGGCACAGTTTTTTTGTTGTCAAGCTAGTGTTCCCAAAAGCTATTTGTAATTTGAGCATCTCCCCTTCCTCGTCAAATGTTATCATGCAGCCATCTACTGTGGGCTGTATTACTGAGATTTTCAAAGAGAGAGCAAGTAAGGCTACCAGCAAGAGCCTGACCTAGGCTCTACACTGTCATTATTCACGTTTGTTTGGATATCTTCTTTGTTAATACTAAATTCCAGAAAAAGTGATTCTTGTGAGACGAGAAATGGCCCTTCCTTCTGTGCCACACACAGCTTCTGCTTGTTGCATGGTTTTGGTGAAGGCAGAAATCTAATTCAAGGAAAAAATGCTACTTGACACCCTCATTACAGAGCTATTTCTGAACACCAGCATTTTCTGTGCTGTAAATATGCAGGGAACCACTAGCCTGTTTCCAGCAACTAAGGTTGTGATTACATGCTAATCCCAACCCTACGGCTGAGGGTGACATCATTCTAAATTAGGAGTTACGCAGCAGCATGGGCTGTATCAGCAAGGTAATTTTAGCACAAAGCCAACTCTGGCACGCTGACTCTGCACTTCTGAAATCCACCTATAAAGTTATGCACATTACAAGGTGTTTCGTTAAGTAAGCACAGTCATTTCGCTGTTATTTCTTTTGCAGAGATGGAGTAGATGATGCAGACAGCCAAGGAGATGGAAGCAGTCAACCTGACACGATTTCCATTGCATCCAGGACATCACAGAATACAGTGGACAGCGATAAGGTAGGACTGGAACGTGAAAATATGCTGCAGCTAATTGTCTCCCAAAACATGTAAGTGAAAAGCAGAATAGAAGACATAATATATAGCAACCTGTCTTTTACTGAGTCAAAAGTTGTATTCTCTGAGGCAAGGCTATTAAAATCCAGTCTCTTTCTAGATGCTCATCAGTACTGCTGTTTTACATGGTAACGTCTCTTTTGCTGCAAGTCTTTTGAAGTTGAATTGGCTCTGAAGAAATACAGCCCAGAGCAATCTTTTTTTCCTTAGTAAAACTTGCCTTGTGGGATCCATCTTCTGAATCAGCAAATGGTTATGTTCCATGTTTACCCTCTGAGCTATAATCACTACTTTGTTGGAGGGAATACAGGTGCATTAATATGGCAAAATTGGGATCCTGGCTGGTACCTTGAGAGTCTGGGAGACCTACCCTTTCCAGAGACTGTGATTTTGGATCCCATCCTCACAGACATATGGAGGAACATATGGATGGCCCCAAGACACGTGACATTCTGTTGGAATGCTGCATGCTGTTGGCATGTATGTAGTCCCTGTTTCATGTGTCAGATGGTCTAAGTCCAGATCCTCCTCCATTAGGAGGCCTGACTCAAATTTGTCACCCTGATACTTCCAGCTGTGGCCTTCAGCTGAATTAGCAGCTGGTAGTCAGAGTAAATGGGCTATTAGTAAGAGCTTACTTCAAATATGATTATGAGGTTTGTCAAATGTAATAAGAATATCCACATTCTCTTCCTGTGTTGCTGTGAAACTATATTGAATTTGCAAAAGAATGAATTCTGCAGAATCATTTTGGATTTATCTGCTTGTCAGGCCTTTAATTATGCTGCCACTTTCTCAGGATAGAAGGGTATTTTCTCAAACTCAGAATTCGTGTTCATGGTCAGAAAGTTCACAAACACTTTTCTGTGCAGTGGCTATTTTGAAAGCTGAACTCAGAGGAATTAATAGGAGTTAACTGAGTTAACTGCAAATAAATCACCTGTTGTATTTAATTTATTTATCTTAAAAGCATGTTTCCATGTTGTTGCTTCTTTTTGTTTGTTTTTGACTAGTAATGTGCATTAGAAAAGTATTACTCCAAAGGACACCATAATGCATGCAAATACTTTGTCTGATGCAGAATAAATACGTTCTTATGTCTTTAATCCACGTGGACTCACCCTGCTTTTCCATGTTTTTCACATTTATCATTCCTGAAAGAGGCCCTGTCTTAGGAGATTTGAGTTTATGCTTAATTTTACGCACAAGATTTGCTGGTTTGCCTCAAGACCGTTGACTCAGTTGCATGAGTTATAGTAGCAGGCAAGGTCTGGGTAAGTCACTCCTCACTGAGTGCTGTAGCTGCAGACAAGATCTGTAGTGCAAACAACAATAGGGACAGTTGGGCTCTACCTTGAAAGGCAGCCCATTATGGCAACAGCTGCTTTCAGGATGCAAGGCTGGGAAGGGTTGTAGGAATTCCTACACAATGATCTTGTCTGAATTGAAAGGCAAAGGCATGCAGGAGGTAAACTGGGAAACAAATCACACAGGCAAAAATTTGTTACCACCGGGGAAAGGCTAAATCATCACAAGGGTTGGATCATCTTACTTTTTTAGGATGGATCTGTTCACTTGCTGATGTAAGGCTGTTTGTATTCATGTATCTGTATGTACTTTTACTGAACAGAAGCAAATTCTAGTGTACAGTTAAAGCTTAAATATAGACGTATGTGCTTTGTTGAATCTGAGTAACTAGTGTAGCATCCTCCAACAGAGAGGCAGCTCTTACTAAAGCCCCTTTCATACTGTCACATATGCTAGCGCCAGCAAGCTGTGGAGAATTCAGTCCCTAGAGTGCTGCATTGCCAGGTCTTTGCTCCAAGGAGAGCAAACTTTCCACATCCCTTGACAATTCTCTCAGTTTTCTACATAGCATTACCCCAGTTAATGACAGATGGAGCTGTGTTTGTACTTCCCATGGAAACAGCATGGAGGCATCTTGCCTTCACTCTCAGCACAGATATAGGTTTTTATAACATACACTGCAATTAACCTTTGTGGTTCTGATAACAGCACTGATAGGTAAAGTATTCAGCAAATAGGAATTTTCCTATCTCTCGAACTGCAGCTTTGTTAGAAGAGTTATTCCCAAAAGTTCTAAATCAGACTTCGAGTGACTGCCCTGAGTGCCCCTGATATCTCCATCCAGAGGAGCCAGAAGAAACTTCCTTCCCACCTTTAACAAGACCCAGCTGTTCAGAGCCTCACTAACAAGGACAGGCAAAGAGCGTGGTAGTGCCAGCAGTGTGCCAGGCTGAGAGCAGAGTGATCTGCACTAGGAACACTGAGGTATTAACTCACAGGTTGCATCTGAGAGCACACTGCATTGCTTATTTATCTGTTTGGATTATGAATTTGGGCAGGCAAGAATTCTTCCAAACATTATGTTTGTAACATAATGCCATGCAGGATACAGATGAGAATGCAGAGCAGCTTTTTTACATTGAAGATAACTTGCAGCAGGATTTCTGGCTGCAGGCTCCTCTTACAAGTTACTCTTTAGATATTCCATCTTTCCTGGCTACAGGTAGTGGTCAATTAATTATATGAGACAAAAAGAACATGTCCATGTCTATTCAAAATAATAATTAAATAATTACTCCTCTTTTTTTTTTTTTTTTATAAATTGCCAAAGTACTTTCTTAAATCTGGATCTTAGCCCTTAACATCTTTAATTTTCTTGTATTTTTATCTATCTGTCTAAATATATGAAGCAGTTATCCCTGAGCTGTAACTTTTATTTTTTCGTTAAATACCAGATCTGTAGCTCTGCACCATTGTGAAAGGAAAGAGATAACATGTAAAATGCTGTGAATTTGTCTGTATGCAATCTGTAACCTAAAATATCTCATGGCTTGAAAAACAATTGTTTGGATTTTCCTTTGGGAGAAAATATTATAAAGAGGGAAAAAGTTGGTTCATGAACGTGACTTGGTGTTAAAGAATCAGCAGATAACAAATACTATTAGAGTAAGTGTAATTTCCATTGAGCAGCCATGTCAGCTTCTAGGGAACCTCCTATGCAAAAACTTCATCTTCTTCCAAAGGGCAGACCAGACAGCTTTTGTACAGCAAACCCTCTTCAATATGCTATCTAAAAAACATTCCTTCAGGAGAAATCCTCACCCTATTCAGCTCACAGCAGACAGGATTTCAATCTTTGTATTTGGATTCAAAGCAGTGGGGAACTGCATAAAGAAAATGTTAGCATGCAGGGCATCCTCATTTGTTAAGCCCATTGATCTATTGGCTGTAAAACAGCTGGTCCTGGCGATACTGATCCATCTTCTAATAGCTCCTTTTTTGTCAGCTTTTGTAGTATGCTGAGGAGAGCTGCTCTTGTTTCTCTGGGTTGTTTTTGGATGTAGAAAAAAGCACTGAAATGTGAACGGAAAAGTTTTTACTCTCTAAAAATAAACATACATGATCTACTTTTATCTCTTCCATTAGATACTGGACTCAATTCATCTTTCAGAAGTCATGAGACTGAGATCTTGACCTCTTCTGCATTGGTGGCATTATATAAAAACAGAATAAACACTTTTTGATTGGAGGTAATTAGTATGAGGGGAGCTTTTTGAGTTAAGGCTTCTAGAACAAATCATTTACAAGTGGATTTTCTTTTCTCTAAAGGCTTCAAATCAAGGCAAAACAGCCTTCTCCCTTTGATATCATTACTTAAGCAGAAATTAGGATCTGATGCAGGTAGTACTACTTCACATTGTTACAAAGGAAGCTAAGGCACCAAGAATCCAGGCTCTCTTTTCTCCTTAAAAATCTATCATTTCTAAGAGTCACAATGCATGCCATTAGAGATATTCATTCTCAGTACCTTGGAAGTTTCCTTTCTAAGTCGTACAGTTACGAGGAGCAACTTGATCCCCTGTACTCTTCTTTGATGCTACTGATCCATTTGGGCTTGAGTTCTGTAGAGCTGTACACCAACATAGAGTCATAGAATCAATCATTACAGGTGGAAAAGAACACCCAGATCTTCTACTCTAATAGTCAACCCATAACCACCATGCTGTCCTAAATAGGCAATAGTTCCAGGAAACACACCTTGTGTTAATGTGTGCTGACTTGAAAATAAATAAGAAGATAGCAAACAGAAATGCCCTCTCATTCACTATGGATGGAAACCTCTTCTGTCCCTCACAAGGAGAATATAGGGGAAATCACTAAGTTTATTAGTTACCACTTTAACATTTGCAGTAAGAAGTGGTCAATCATTTCTTCCTAGCATAAATTAATTCAGGAATTATGTTATAAGCGTGCCTAAATCTGAAGTGGAAAAACTAAAGATCCCTCTCTAACCAGGCATCTTGCAAAGAAGTGAAATGGTGAGTAGGAAGTTTGTAAATTCTTTCTTCTCTTATTTAATCTCAAACAAATGAAAACATTTGCTATAAAATAGTGAAATAGTAATACTCCTTTAAAAAAAAATTCCAGTGAAGTCTTAAAATGAGAACACCAACATAAGGTGTTATATATTATGTATATATGCCAAAATATATATATATGCCAATATAAAACATTATTTTGTCAAATACAGAAAATCCAAATGTAGAACAGAAATTAGAGATTCACATTTTTGGAGGGGGAATTAAAGAAGTGGAGAAATTAAGACAATACCATAAGGCAAATGCAGACATTAATTAATTCTGCTAACAAGAGCATTCTTACTGAGCTGACAATTTAATTTCTACTTAGTTTCTCAGCAAGGGAACTGGCATAACAAGCAGATTAAAAAAAAGAAAAAGCATCTTGGTACTTGTAATACTTGGTACTCAGTAATAGCAGGTTCCTGGGAAAGAGATGCCTTCCTGCTGCAGCAGAGGGGCTACACCAAGGGGTAAGAATCGCTCAGCACTGCTTGGATCAGTGGAGGTATCACTCTGGACTGAAGCCTTTACAGAACTTGAGCAGTGGGACTGAAT